TTTAATTCCCTGTTCACAGAACAGGGAATTAAAATTTTTTCTTTAAAAAGACACCTTCCCTGTTCACAGAAATTTTAACAGAGCACAATATTGATACACAAATGATATTTTCATGCTTACTCATTAATTACAAGAGTATTGCAAATTTTGATATGTCATTACAAATATAGTTGCAGTATGCAAATTTATCTTATGTCTACAAACATAATACATCTATTTTTAAACATTTTGAACAAAATATAATAATATAATTGCATAGTTTCTGATTTATTCTCGTATATCAAATAATAAATTTATAAATAAAAAAATAATTTTAAGAGTAGATTTAATTTAACTTAAGAGTGACACATGACAATACCTTGCCATTAACATCAGTTCCATTAATAAAAATAATTGCTCTCTTCATGATGAAAAGATAATTTTTGATAATTGTTCTATTTAGCCCCACCAACTTCAGTTATGTTGAAATTATACTTATTTGATGCAATTTTACAAAATGAAAGAATTAGATAGAAAAAGACGTCGTTTTGCCCCACGAAGTGAAATATTAATCATTAAAGTTGACGACTTTCCAGATTAAAAAATCTATCATATCGACGAAATACAGCGACACGTATATGTGCCATGCTCTAAATGCATGTATTTAAGCTGAAGTCACAGATGTTTATGAGCTGTGTTCCAAAATTGATTGTCAGCGCTGACAGTAACTATGAACACCTATGAACACCGTTTCGAAATTCACTCATCAGCATAAACTTAGTTTATACCATACGCAAATTTTAATACGCGAATCAAAATGGAATGCATTAAATATTAAATCTAGCGTGTTTACACCGAATAACATGAAGTAAATAGAGTGAACAAATAGCACGAATAAGGGTGCCTCATAGAGCGTATCGCGCGTATCGAAAATCTGACCAATTGCAGACGTTCCGCCGAATCCATTATTGTAAATTTCGCGATTGGTCAGATTTTCGATACGCGCGATACGCTTCATGGGACGGCACCCTATAGGCCATATCAGACTAGCGGTTGCGCGGCTACGATTGCCGGTTGACGATTTTATTTCAGCCAATCACAATGTAGCAGGTCCTGATTATGGTCAATGTGATTGGTAATAGTAGAATCGTTAATCAGCAACCGCAGCCGGGCAACTGCTAGTCTGATATGGCCTAAGGGTTGCCATCACATGCGGCGTAACTTGCGTAAGCGTAATTTGCGTATTCTAGTATTTTACTAAAACACGTTACGCCATTTTGAAAGCCTTCTTTCACATAGAGCGTATTTCGCGGAATTTCGAGAAATGCGTAATTAATACAACCAATTGCTATTAGGATTTCTATTGTACTCTCTAACAGAAATACTAAACTAATTTGTGATTGGTTTTTGTATCTGAAAAAGTACGCTTCATGAGGAACCGAGACTTTATGTACGAATAAATCAAGTAGATGTGAATCTAATCTGTGAGAATGATTCAGAAGTCATTATGAACCCTGATCCGTTATTATTAATAATATGGAAATGATGGCAAAAGTGGAAGAAGATGAAACAACAGAAAATTAGACGATATAATATTTTAAAATTGTTTGGAATATTGTTTGGAAACTGATAACAAGAAAAAACTTGTCATAGAATGTGGGTGCATCCGATATTCGCAAAAAGACGAAGATTATTACAAAGTGATAGTGACAATCTGACCAAAGAAATGGAATTTGAAGATTACGAAATGTTCTTCAGGGTGAAGTCCAATCGGACATATTGCCGATTGGTTGATTAAATAAAAAATTTTTGATAGGTGGCTTACTAGAAAATTCCTAGTCATCGGATGATGTGAGTGTCCGATTGAAAATGTGCGCATCTGGGACGCTCCCATAAATTAATATATATATATATATATATATATATATATATATATATATATATTA